ATCCGCGGCGGCGAACTAGGTTTCGGTGAGAGATCTCTTCCCCTATTCACAGGACTTAGCGTTTCTCGCCGTTTCCAGAAGGTTCGATCAGCGGTGGCAGGTTCGACGGATCCGAAGCCCGATCGCCGTGGCTCGGTGATCTCCGAGGTTCAGGAGACTGCCGCCGAGGGTAATTTCTTTTGATCCGAATAATATGGCACTGCGATTGATGATTTTTTTAATATATTTCTTTCTTGAAATTATGATATGCTTGTGTTCAGATGTTTGAAAGTCAAATCGTTTAAGTTTAATGTTGATTCTTGGAATGCGTTTGAAATATTGATCTTACTTGCTAATTTCAAGATCTTGGGGTTACTATATTGTTACGATTTAGCTTCTTTCTTTTTCAGATATAGTTGCTGGTTGGCGTTGACCTGCTATATTATTAGCTGCATTTCCCCCCTTTCATAAGAGGGAACTCCGTATTTGAAGAAGAATGTCAAATTTTAATCTATTTGAGAGCATGTTAGAATCACACAAGGGTTTAGTTTGTATCTTGTTATGAACTCTCGCATCAGGATGAGTATTTGAGCTAGAGGAATAGTTATTTGCTCTCATTGCAAACCAGAACACAACAAAAGTTTTCTATTGGAATCGAGAGAAAAGAGAAGGAAATGTGTAATAGGCTACTGACGTACTATACGAAAGCTTAAAAAGTTACAAAATAATGATGAAAACCTTTACAAGTTAGGCTAGCAACATGGAGGCAAATGTAGGCAAGATCTTAAAAGGAGAGACATATCTGAGAGGGGATGAGCTCTAGAGGAGAATATCTGAAGAGGAAATAAAGAGGTGATAAAAGAGTTTGTGTATTCCCTGCCCTGGGACAGAAGATATTTTCTCTTTTTATAGTAGGGTCAGAACATTTGGGAAAAAAACACGCAGTTAGTGCATTTGTCATTTCCAAGTTTCTTCATCCACTGTTGGGCTAGTTGGATATGATCCTAGAGTACTTGTAGTGTAATGTCCTAGAATTGAGAGTTTCCTCATGGTAGGAGGCTTGAAAGTATAAGGGGTGCAAAATTGTAATGTGAGAGTGCTGTCATCTGGAAACACATATTTATGTATTTACATATGCATCTATATATCATATATGTAGTGTGGGTATAAGAAAATTTCCTAATTGCTATATTTTCTTGATCGTAGCTTTGGCATCATTTTTTTTGTTACTCACGTCATCAATTTGTTGAGTTTCTGGCAATAACTTCTTACTATGTTATCGTAAGCAGTTTCATATATATGCTGACATTGTTTAAAGTATTTCATATTTTACTTTGTGGACAGTGCACAGTTTTTCCCTCGGGTAAAGAAGAAGAAGATTTGAGAGGGCTGTTAGCGCGCATTTTAGAGTTGGTAAGTAAAACCTCTCTTTGTTCCTGAAAGTGTTATCTTTCATAACAACATTAAACTAATGGAGAATAAGAAGCCATAAATGCTTTGTGATTAAATTGATGAAATTCACTTATAATTTGGCTCCAGACAGCATTGGCGACTTACCGAAGCTGGTGGAAGACATTATTCAGACGTCAATAAAGACAGGACCTAGGGGTGCAATAAGATTAGCTCAAGGCGTACAAGCTGTTATTGGGGTCGGTGGGGAGTGGCTTAGTGACTTGTCAAAGGTATTGGTATATTGTTACTAATTGTTATAGACAGTTTTTAATTTTGGGAGTAGTTCAACTTTCCTTTCAGACTATTGAACCAAGAATTATTTATATGTTGTAGTTAGTATAATTATGCTCAGCTTCCTATGTCAGGTTCTGTAAAACTTAGTATAGTTTAACACTTTGTTGATGTACTTTGCACGATTGATATGTAAATTATATGGCTCATATAAGTTGGAAAGCTTATCTTTACGAACTAGAACCTGACATATAATGAGGTACTCTTACCACTTTACCATACTTATTCTGTAACATAGCAGAAAACTTAAAGGACCTAACCTTTCCACTAGTCTAATGAAGAATTACATTAGGCTTTGTGAAGTGTCTATGATTTAACAACATTTGTAAAATCACTAACTGAATAAATTTAAAAATGCCAAAGTTAAATGATAGAAAGTTGTATATCTGCTAAATCATGGTTTGACATATAATACCAGTTTGCCTAATTCATGGGATGAAATATATTTTATCACAAAAGTCAAGGTCCATTAAGTAGACAATACTACAGAACTCTAGAGTTGTATTAAGGCTTTTTAGGTGAGGGTGAGGGTGAGTGTGGGGGTGATGGTGAGGTTGAGGTTGAGGTTGAGG